CCTCCTCAGCAATTGCTGAACACATTCATTTTTCTCCCTGCAGGCAATTCTTGGGGCTGCAAACAGCTTCTCTTGGGTTGGACCATCCCAGCTTCCTCTGATGGATTCTCTGAACCCCCTCCTCGCTCAACGAGACCTGCCAAAAGCCCTTCCCCCTCCAGAAACACAAGCAGTGTTAATTTCAGACAGACCCAACTGTGGCTTCCACCTCCCACCACCCTCTCCCATCTCTGGGCCTTGGCATTTTTTTTTTCCCTCCTTTTGTTTTTCTGCCTAGCACCCTAGGCTTGGCTTTTTTTTTTTTAGCTTTCTCTTCGGTGGAGCCCCTTGCTCTGGCCCTCAGGGGGTTTTTACTGCTTCCTACTCCCACTTCCGGCTGGGCATCGATTGTCAGTGCTGCAGGCTGTCTGTAGAGAGGAAGGATAGGCCAACGTCTTCATCCTGGGGAATGTGTGGAAGGCCTTGAGCAGGTGGATGAGCCTTCCCATCGTCACAAAGGCTGCAGTATTAGCGACTGTGATATACTATCCTCCAGCTTCTCCCAAGCAGGAAGGTCCAGAAGATAGGAGCCCCCTTAGAGCAGGGTTCTTTTATCTACCCCAAGGCCTGGGCCTAGCTGGGAGGAGGGAGGGTATCAGGGATGCTAAGCCACATGAAGCTGTCTTTTGGTGTCTCCATGGATGGGGAGAAATCACATGAGCAGAGTTTAACATACAATGGGTCATGGGAAAACTCTAAAGATCAGAAGACCAAAGCGGCCATTGTTTGGGTAAGGGCAACCAAGAGCTCCCCTAAAGTCAGGGAGAGGAAAGCAGTTCAGTTTTTCTAGACCTAGCATTTGGGGTTCAGAATGGAAAGAGAAAGGTGAAGAGATAATGGGCTGACTGGCATGGTCATTCCCTGGGTTGTGGGGACACAGACGCGCTTTCTGTGTGTGTTAAGTTAGGGGGTTTGGGGGCAGAGGAGGCCCAGGATCTAAGGCAAATGTGAGACATGTAGCAGTCCCAGGGGAAAAGAGTATCAAAAATGTTCTTGACTCAGAATGGAGTGTTTTATAGGTAGGTATACCTGAGCAAGGAAAGGAATGCGGAGGGCCTGGCCCCATACTGGAGTTCATATCTGTAATCCTAGCTGCTCCAGGAGGCTGAGCTCTAGAGGATCACAGTTCAAAGCCAGCCTGCTAGGAAAATCTACAAGACTCCATCTCCAGCCACAATAACCAGCAAAGCTGGTGCTCCCACCTCTAATCCTAAATCCTAACTACTCAGAAGGCTGAGATCTAAGGATCAAGGTTTGAAGCTAACTTGGGCAGGAGTATCTGTGAGACTCTTATCTCCAATTAACCAATTAAAAAAAAAAAAAGCCAGAGTAGAGCTGTGGCTCAAATGATAGAGCACTAGCCTTGAACAAAAAAAGCTCAGGGACAGGGTTTGGTACTTGAGTTCAAGCTCCAGGATCAGCCCAAACAAACAACAACAAAGAGCAAAAAGCTAGCTATTAGTGTGGCTCAAGTGGTAAAGTGCCAGCTGAGCAAATACAGAGGTCTTGAGTTCAAGCTCCTCCACCCTGGGGAGGGAGGGGGGAAGGAAACAAAGAGACATTGGGCTAAAAGGCCAGAGACACAGAACAAATGAAGGCAGAGTCCTGAGACCAGGGCTGGAATGAGGGGGGTCTAGAAGAAGAAACTCAAGACCAGGCACATGAAGGAGGCTCCTTAGGGAGAATCCAACCCTCACTCCTTAAGTCCTAGGGCAAAATAACGATCAAGAGGTAGAATTTTCTGGGGCTGGGAAGGTGGCTCAGTGGTAGAGCGCTTGCGTTGCATCCATGAAGCCCGGGTTCGATTCCTCAGCAGCACATAAACAGAAAAAGCCAGAAGTGGCGCTGTGGCTCAAGTGGTAGAGCACTAGCCTTGAGCTGAAGAGCTGAGGGACAGCACCCATGCCCAGAGTTCAGGCCCCACGACCAACAAAAAAAAAGAGGCAGAATTTTTTTCACATTTAGGGCAGAATACATGGACCAGGGGTCAGGGAAATCCTGGGGACCAAACCAGTCTGCAGGGGTTGGGGGGTGGGGTGGTAATGAGGGGGAGGGTGTCAAAGGCAGGAAAAGTCTGCAGCCTACAGTGGAATTGGGGAGAAGGGGGACCCCAGATTTCAAGCAGATGTCAGATGTAGCAAGGAACACATGTAGGTATTTCAATTCCTCTGGGGAACCAGTGGCTGGTGACAAAATCCAGCTGTGTCCCTCCTACCCCACCCCCCTCCCCCCTTCACAAGACACAAGTGGGTTTTTTTTTTTTTGCTTTTTTTCATTTCTTTTTAATACAAACTTGGATCTTTGGGTGTGTCCTGCCAACAGAAAGCAACAACAACAACAGAAGAGAAAACCCAAGAGTGAAAAATAAGAAAGAAAAGGGGAAAAAAAAAAAAAAGCTCCCGTAAGAGGTTCTTCTCCCTTCCCCCCCACCATGCGAATTTGCACACCACGGGACCACAGCAGGTTTACAGAATGCAATATACAATCCACGATTTATAATAAAACAGTATATACAATAAATAGGATATTGTTCATTTTTGTCAAACGACCTGTAGATAAATTTCTCAGTGCATACTTGCAGGGGCTCTGGACACTTTGAGGCCCCCTCGCAATCTCTTGCACACGCACTCTCTCTCGCTCTCTTTTTTTTTTGTCTTTTTCTAAAACTGTGTTTTTGTCTTTAAGTTTTGTACATTTTTAAAAAGTATTTACAATTGCTGGTTTTGTGCAGAAAGGGCTCACCTTCGGCTTCTGCGTGGAGGAGATGGGCAGGGAGGGTTAGGGTTGGGGTGGGGAGCAAAGGGCAGGCTTTCCTGCCAGAGGACAATGTGGACACGAGGAGGGGTCTTGGCGTTGGTTTTCTGAAAGCTGCAAAGAAACACAAGAGAAGAGGCAGAAGTCAGAAGCAGGCAGACACTGAACGTTGAGACCAGGAAGACTAAGAGTCCCCCCTCCCTCCCGTGTGCTCCATTCCCACCAAGATTCTGGGAGAAGCTAATCACATTGTTTCTTCCCCCAGATCTAGCTCCCACATGACTTTGGGACTACATGTGGCCTTCTCTGAGCTCAATTTCTCTCTGTAAAACAAGCATGCGAATCAGGCGCTGGTGGATCACATCTGTTACCCTAGCTACTCAGGAGGCTGAGATCTGAGGATCACTGTTCAAAGCCAGGCTGGGGAGGAAAGTCCCTGAGACTCTTATCTCCAATACACCACCAAAAAAACGGAAGTGGCAATGTGGCTCAAGTGGTAGAGTGAGCACCTTGAGCTGAAGAGCTCAGGGACAGTGCCCAGGCCTAGAAATCAAGCCCCATGACCAACAAAACAAAAACAAACAACCAACCAAGCATGCATAAGCCTACACTAAGAAGTGATGGCTGGGCTGAGTGAGGTGTCAGGGTCCCAAGCAGCAGGCTTGTAAAGAGCTCTGGCTCTTGGAGTTAGGCATGACTGAGTTCAAATGCAAACACCACCATTTAAGGAAGCTCTGGGACAGCAGGGTGGCTCAGGCTTCTGTGAGCCTCAGTTTACTGATCAGTAAACTGATTCAGGAGAGTGAGGCAGAAGAACTTTCAGTGTTAGGCCAGCCTGGACTACACAGCAAGACCTTGTCTCAACACAAGAAGTCCAAACAAAAACAAAACACTAGGGGGTGGGGGGATGGGCATTACAACTACCCCCAGAGGTTTGTTGGCAGGATTCAGTGTCTTAAGGCAGACAAGGCTGAACACAAATGCACAATAAATGTATTACCACTTGCTATTATTTTTCCTGGAGCCAGTCGGGTTCTCCAAACCTCAGATTCCTAATGTCACAATGAGTTCATTTACTAATTCTTTTCCCCACCTAGGCTGTTGTGAGGAACACAGCAAGGAGGAGGACAGAGGCGGCACGGCACAGCTGTGAGCCACTGCTTCAATTTTCTCTAAATCCAACCTTTTCCTAGCCTACCCATGCCATTCTGTTCCTTAGAGACTGAGGTGATGAGGAAGTCTGTCTGAATGAAGAAAGAACTGCCCAGCAGGCTGCCCCCTGTGTTTGGTGGAACGCTGCCTTCCCGAAGCTCCCAAGTCCACCAGGAGCAGTAGACTGGGGTATCGTCCCCTTCCTAGGCAGCCCCAATCACCTTTGGGAGACCTGATTTCCCTATCCAGAACCCCCGTCACACTAGAGCCTCTGGATTCACAGCTTTACGCCGTGAGGACTGAGCTGCCCAGAACAGGGTCGGCTTGGTTAGTGCCCTGGTCTGCCTGCCTCTTCCACCCCCAGCGTGTGTCACTTCCTCAGGATTGGGGGCCGGGGTGGGGGGTGCTAAAAGTGCCTCCTGAGCCTCCTCTGCCAGCCAGCCAGCCACCGAGCCATCCATCCTCCCGCCGGCCACAGGAGCCAGGAGGCGACAGGAGGCGACGGAAAGCTCTCCTCCCTTGTACTTTCTTGGCTTCCCTTCCAACAGGCCACATTGACATTCTGCTCAGCCTCAGCTGCTGTCTGCTGGGCAGTCAGCCTGGGGACGACTTTTGTCCCAGGGCCGGACTTGCCAGGACACCCCCAAGAGCTAGGGGATCGGGTGGGCTCCTGAAGGGCAAGGGCAGCAGCCAATCCTGCCGACGGGAGCAGGCGGTGGCAGGCACTGCCACACTGGCAGGGTCCATGGTGGGCGAGGGGAAGCCGGATCTATGAGGTGGCCCTTGGGGTGGGAAGCAAAAAAGTAGCTCTTGGTCTTTGCAATGAGGGTGAGAAGCAGGACCAGCTGCAGAGATTAGGGGGCAGGAGGACGCTCTCGGGGGTGCCAGGCTGGGGGTGGGGCTGAGGGCCTCTATCCAGAAGCTGGCCTCATTGCAGGTGAAGGACAGTGGCCAAGCTGGGTAACTAGCGAGGGGAGATTTACGGTGGGCCGTTCCAAACACTCTGCACATCAACAGTGATGAGCCTCAGCTTTTCTCCCAAGGGCCTGGGGCAGGAAGAGAGGCTCTGCACAAATCCCTGCCTCTCCCACCCCCACCAGCCCTCAGCCACTGCCAGTGACCCTCTCCAAGCCAGGTCTCCATGGTGATCTCAGCCCAGCAGGCAGCTTCTGCCAGAACCTTCCTGTGGTGCCCGCGGCCAGGCAGCAGGAGGCTTTCTCAGCCTCTACTAAGCCGCCCAGTGCGTCTCACCTTCCTCCTCCCTGTGCCCTCCCAGCTTTCAGGACTTGGCCAGCACAGACTCTGGCAGAATCTGGGAGAGGATAGGAGGTGGGGAGGGGGAAAGGGAGAATGCTATGGCTGTGTAGAACTCACATCTCACTAGACTCAACTGTCTGTGTAAGAGACCCAAACGCGAAGGTGCCAAGCCTGGTGTCAGGCACTAGAAACAGGGCAGAGCAGAAGACTGCGCTGGTCTTGCCTTTGAGAGGCTCATGCAAAGCAGACCTACGACCAGGCACTTTATGCAGGGAGATGAAGAAGAACCAGGAGCAGGGGTACCTAACAATCTTGGCAGAAGGTATTGTGGCTCTTGGTTCACTGTTGAGCACAGTGCCTAGCACACGGTACTCTCAAATGTGTGGACTGAATGACAGAGCGATGACTGATCAGAGGCAGGTCAGCATGTCAAGGTCCAGCTCAGCTCTTGCACACCTCCAGGACGCCTCCTTAGAGCACCCTGTTACCATAGCTACCGGTGTACTTGTCATTCTCTCCAGGGCACAGGCCTGCAGGTGGTACCTCTGTATTCTCAATCCCAGCATGCACCTGGCCCCAGAACACCAACCACTGTTCCTAAGACTTAACCTTTTAATGGCTCTACAAGGAACCTCAGAGCTACATTCCACCAAGCTGACATGTCTAGAAGTTTTCTAATCTGAGGTACCACAACCTTCAGTGCCTCTTGCCTGGCAGTGGGAGTAGGCTTGGTGGGCACTAAAGGGTAGCTGAGTTGAAATTAAAAAGGGCTGTAGAGGATAGACATCAGGTTTCCCAGAGAGCTGGTCTCTCCCCAAAAGAAGGCTACACTTGTGCATTTACTTAAGCAACTGGCAAATATGCATTCATGTTCACTCTCAGGGCACATTAACGTTTAACTTACACTAGTCTCTGCCTCAAGAAGAGGGGAGTCCAGTGACAAATAAAGAGTAGAAAGCAAAGTGTATGAGAATGAGATGAATTCACTGTGTTACCTAGATCAAGGCCCTTCCTGCATCTGGGCCTCAGCCAGGCGCCAGTGTCTTATACCCGTAATCTTAGCTACTCAAGAGGCTGAGATCTGAGGATTGCAGTTCGAAGCCAGCCCAGGCAGGAAACTGTGAGACTTTTTATCTCCAATAAAGTACTTGAAAAAGCTGGAAGTGGCACTGTAGCTCAAGTGGTAGAGTGCTAGCTAGCCTTTAGCGAAAGAAGCTTAGGGACAGTGCCCAGGCTGAGTTCAAGTCCCAGGACCAGCAAAAAAAAAGGGGGGGGAGGGGAGCTCAAACAGGTAATGAGGGGGATCTTTTTTTTTTTTTGGGTCTGGTCGTGGGGCCTGAACTCTGGGCCTGGGCGCTGTCCCTCAGCTCTTCAGCTCAAGGTGAGCGTTCTACCACTTGAACCACAGCGCCACTTCTGGCTTTTTCTGTTTATGTGGTACTGAGGAATCGAACCCAGGGCCTCATGCATACCAGGCAAGCGCTCTACCATTGAGCCACCTTCCCAGCCCTGTTTTTTTTTTTTTTTTTGCTGGTCCTGGGAATTGAATTCAGGACCTGGACACTGTCCTTGAGCCTCTCTTGAGCCACAGAGCCACTTCTGGCTTTTTCTGTTTATATAGTATTAAGGACTCGAACCCAGGGCTTCATGCATGCTAGGCAAGCACTCTACCACTAAGCTACATTCCCAGCCCCTCTCCCCTCAGTTTTTTGTTTTTTATTAAACAGGGTCTACTACTGGCCAGAGGCATTCTTTAATCTCTGGCTCTGCCAGTCACTTCCCATTCTTCATCCGCTGCTGGGCACAGAGATTTAAAATGCTAGTGGGACCCCACAGAGTTCACATCCATTGACATTCATGTCTGTCACATCCCAGAGCATCATATTCCCTTTATACCTGCGCCCATCCCTCCCTCTCTCTCTCTCTCTCTCTCTCTCACACACACACACACACAGAGCTTTCCCTCTCTCCCAGCTAGGGATATATTATATGTAAAGTAGGGGTCATCACTTGTATGTGTTGGACAGGCAGATGAAATGGGGTGATCCTTGGCTCTACTGTTACCTGCTTTGATGACCAGGTGGCTGAGTCCCTAGACCAGTCTAGACCAGTCCCCTGTAAACTAGCCCTGCCTGTCTGTATCAGTTTACTTATATGACCCTTGCCCACTCGCCACTCGTCTTTCATGATTCTCCCATTCTCCATGCTCATCTTTGACTGGTTAGAATACAGACACATTCCCTGACCTGTCCCAGGAACAAGGAGACACTGGGGTATGGAGATAGTAGTAGCAGAGATGAGTAAGTGGCCAAAAGGGTTTGATGGCTAGTGAGGACATTCCCAAGAAGGGCTGTCACCATGCATACAGGGCCAGAGACTAAGCGTGTCTGGGAGGGGGTGAAGTCAGGGAAAAGACAGGAACTGGCAGGTGGGAAGACCACGGTGGATAGGAGGGGATAGCGCAGGCCAGGGAAGTAGGAAATCAACAGGGCACCTTCAGGAAAGACCCCTCCCGTAACAGCTTCCTCACTCCAGATTTTCTCATTGGGCAAGGAAGGGTGAGTGTGAGAGAGGTGGGGCTCAAGGGAGGCGATGCCAGGACACAAGTCCTGAGTATCTTCAGCACCAGGCCAGGAAGACTGGCCTGTATTTTGCAGGCAAGGAGGCTGGAGAGGAAGGATTGCAATCAAAAGGTGTGAAGCATG